ATACTCATGTAAGAGTTGTTGACTTCATACATTTATTTATATATATATATATATATATATATATATATATATATATATATATATATATAGTAAGGTAAAAGTTGCGCACCATAGGGTAATTTATTAATAATAATAATATTTATTAAAAAATATAATTACGCATCAAATTTTTACTAGTTATTTAATTTTTATACTTGCTATTCAGAATATCCTTCCTTTTCAAAACTCATTTCAATTCTATTGCTGCACGATTCATCAACACGATTTACGATTCATCGATTTACTGCATTCATATCTAATTTTTTTTCCTCAATATGTTTCGAATGCGTCTGATAAACAATTGATTTCAAATAAACCCATAGAAAAATTCACTGGTGTGAGCTCTGGTTACCTCGGTGGCCACTCAACAGGACCTATTTGACCGATCCACTAGCGCTATGGTGGGCGACTCTTGCTTTACTATATGTATATATATATATATATATATATATATATATATATATATATATATATATATATATATAAACTGAGAAAGTCAAGTTGTCTGAAGATTATATGTGAGTGGAACTCCAGTCACGAGTAGAGCCGTCTTTTCATAGGATTTAATGTTGGTTAACGCTTTTTGCGCGTTCTACGCAATCTAGGCTTCGAGCACTTTAGTTTACTGAGTAGATAAGTTTGCTTTCAGGCCTTTTTCTCTTTCTTTTTTCGGTATTTTTATCTTTATTCGAGACTATATCTCGATAAGAGTTTAGGTTTTAGCAAGCTGTTTTTTGGTTCCACCAACAATTTTGGTTTTTCTTAGCATATATATATATATATATATATATATATATATATATATATATGTGTGTGTGTGTGTGTGTGTGTGTATGTGTGTGTATAGGGGAGAGGTTATAGTTGTTCCAACGAGAGAAAAATATATATTTTAAAAAGAAGTTAAACTGCAAACATTTTTGGTTGAAATGCGGATTTTTTTTATTTTAAAATATACATTATACTCTATTTTTCATAATTCTGCTACACGTGCTTCTGGTTTCACGACCTTCTTCAAACAAAGAGTAGATATTTCTGTATATTATAAAAATGGATTTTTTGCGTGATAGTGATTCAAATGTCTTTTTTGGACTGGTGATAAGTGTTTATATATATATTGCATATAGTTCTCTTGTTAATATTTCGTTCTTTTGCGTGGTACCACGTTATAGAACTGCATTAGGAATTTACGATTTGCTTCTGATATTTCGCGACTGTTATCGTGCATAACAATCTTCTACGTCAGCATAACAGAACTGACTACATTATTTGGTCATTATGTGTGTATCCTGTGTGTTTTTGTGTGTGGGGTTATGTAGTGCTGGTTTAAATTTGTTTATGAAATTTTTTCTTGTATTTGTAGATAAGAATAATTGTCTGTTTGGTATATTGGCATTATTTTCAATTTGCCTTGATTACATGTGTAGATGTATTGTGATACGAAGAGTTTTCTGTTGTAAGTGTTGTCGGGTAATTTGATATTGCTTTTGCAAAGGGAAACTCTGTGATTTAGTGTTTGGCTGATACCTATATTTGGCCTCTTGCATTTTGTGCATTTAAGTGCATGAATCACATTTTTGGAGTTGCAGTTTAAATTTTTATTTATTATGAAATTTTTGTGGGGTTTTCAAAAGTGTAGGCGTTTCCTTCTATAATGATATCACAAATCCCACATCTTTTTTTTGTTGCATTTTGTGGCTCCCTATATTGTGTCTTGGTTAAATTTGGATGATGTTAATATGTGTTTCAGGTTTTTAGATTGGCGTTTGCTTTTAGTTTATTTTCAGTTTGTTACTCTTGTTACATAGGTCTAGATTTTTTGTAATTTCTGTAAATAGTTCTGGATTGTTCTTGTTGTATGTTGAGACATATACCAGAATTTGTTCGACGTTACGTTTCTTTGGATTTCGTAGTTGATCTCGGGGAATTTTTTTTTTTAGGTTCGAAACCTTTGTTTATTAGTGTGGTAGGGTAGCCTCGTTTTATTAGAGTTCTACGTCGTTCTTCTAGACAGGTTTTTGGAGGTGTTTGTCAGTGACTATAGTGCAAACCCTACATGCTATAGAATAGGATTTTAGGCAGTTTTTTGGGTGATGGCTCTTGAAATGGAGATATTGTGGGGTGTCTGTAGGTTTGTGGTAGATATCTGTGATTATGTGGTTGTATTTATTTCTAAAGACTATATCTAAAAATGATAATTCGCTAAAATTATATTCTTGAGTGAACTTGATTTTGGGGTAAATTTTGGTTTTGTTTTTTTTTTGCTATTCAAAACGGAAAAAAGGTTCTGTTGTATTATTTAATTTGTTTTTGTTATAAATAAAACTACACTTACCAAAAAAAAGTTACATTTCTTTACGATAGTGCGTAGTGATTTTCTGCAAGGAAAGTCTGTAAAAGAAGTAAATAGGCCAAATTTTCTGATTACGCCTGCGTAGGTACTACGTAGTAAATTAGTAAACATGATGGCAGTAATGGGGGATGAATGACCAACAAGAAGGTCGATTTTTTTCTTGTCGATAACTCCAAAATGGTACGGTTTCTTTATAATTTAATTGTTAATTCGAGTTCAGCATGTACATTTACACGGAATTATGACGATTTTGGAAAATATTTAAGGGATATTAGCGCTCAGGAAACAAAAACAAAATTTACCGATTTTTTTTGGATGTATATATATATATATATATATATATATATATATATATATATATGTATGGGAATTCTTTATTTATTCACATGAAATTATTGATCCTATAATGAATGCAGATTATTACTGATACAACTCAGTTTATAAAGCGAAACTATTGCATCTACTCCTCTTTATCTATTGTGAAGAAGGCACAGGCAAGAGCCGTCCGCAAGGCCTAGCTTTAATGCCGCCCGATAGGACGTCTTTTAAGCTTGTGATAAATATACGGTTGAAGCACCAAATAAATATTCAGTGAAGAAAAATAAAGACGACTAGAGAGAAGTAGGAAGAACGAAAATGAAGATTTATTTTTCTAAAAACGAAATTATGTCAAGAAAATATAAAAAAAAATATGTAACATGCCTTCTTCCTAACCCTGAAAAAAAGAACTAGTGGGTATTATCAAGGGCTGTATCTACTGACAAATCCAGAATAGGTTATATCGCAAAGAGATGTCTCTACTCACAAATCCGGAACACGTCATATTTCAAATGACTGTCTCTACTCACAAATCCGGAACACGTCATATTTCAAATGACTGTCTCTACTCACAAATCCGGGACACGTCATATTTCAAATGACTGTCTCTACTCACAAATCCGGAACACGTCATATTTCAAAATGACTGAATACTCTATTTCAAATGACTGTCTCTACTCAAATCCGGAACACGTCATATTTCAAATATTTCACAAATGACTGTCTCTACTCACAAATCCGGAACACGTCATATTTCAAATGATTGTCTCTACTCACAAATTCGGAACACGTCATATTTCAAATGACTGTCTCTACTCACAAATCCGGGACAAGTCATGCTGTAAAGTGTTGTCTCTACTCATAAGTCGGAATTTCATATTTCCTCCCTGAAGTTTCTGAAACTCTGGCTCTCTGTAAAAACAGAACCCTATAGATTGGCGGTCACATATTCGGTCAAGCGCGGTGCATACCAATTGGGGATGGGGAAAGAGAGTAATGCCAACAATATTATTATAGAATTATATATTAAAAAACAATTTTACTATAGAATTACACTAAAAGTTATAGAATTATACTATAGAATTAAATTGAAAAGTAGATTGGAAACACGGAATAAAAGTGGGAACATATGGACGATTTTTGAGCGAAACATTGTATGAGAAAGAGAGTATATTGATATAATTGTTCTATTTTTAATGGTTGTAGTAGATATAGGATTCGACATAATCCGCGGTTGCGGGCATCCGCTCGGAGTTTTGGAAAATTTTCTCCGTGGGTAGAGGCGTGACTACTATATAGAGACTTTGCAAATGATATTATAATAGAAATACATTTAACTATCTAATTCAGTCTGTTCATTATCTATCTATCTATCTATCTATCTATCTATCTATCTATCTATCTATCTATCTAATTCAGTCTGTTCATTATCTATCTATCTATCTATCTATCTATCTATCTATCTATCTATCTAATTCAGTCTGTTCATTATCTATCTATCTATCTATCGTCATGCATAACCAATGAAAACTCGAGACTGAATTTCTCATGCATAACTCTGGACTTCATTAATTAATGTCGGCAAGCGTGTGTGTGCGCGCGTGTGTGTGGCGGAGGAACTCTCCTCTGAACATAATCTTTAGATTCTTGTGTGCGATGCCTGATCATCTTCTCTTTGAGGTGAATGCTTATATATCTATCTATACCATTCATGCACGTATCAGGGTTATCCGGGTCGACACATTGTTCACCTGTTGGGATCACCACTGACATTGGATGAATCACGTATCTCCACCCCAATAGAGTCATTCCAGGTCAACCATTCATCCGGCTATTCTCAAGAGTACAAAATTCAAAGTATTTGCTGCGTGCTCTAAGAGAGAGAGAGAGAGAGAGAGAGAGAGAGAGAGAGATCAGTATATATATATATATATATATATACTGATATCTCTTTATATATATATATAGAGAGAGAGAGATCAGTATATATATATATATATATATATATATATATATATATATATATATATATATATGTGTCAGTCTGTTCATATCTATCTATCTATCTTCTGCTCATATGTAAATCTTTCATTTATTCTACTATTGTAAAACAATTCATTTGTTATGTATATAATTTGTTTTTATTTCTTTTCATTTCCTAGGGAAGGAGTGCTCTGGTATTCTCCTCCCGCTGATCAACGAAGACACGTGGAACTTGAAAGTTCGAGCCTTTCTCTACTTTTCTGGTATGATTTGGTGTTTTCTCGGGGTAGCCATCATCTCGGACCTCTTCATGTGCTCCATCGAACGCATCACGAGCAAAACTCGAAAAATCCGCATCTCCGATCCAAAGGACAAAGATGGCTTCCGAGAAGTGGAGGTAAAAGTATGGAACGACACAGTGGCCAATTTAAGTTTGATGGCGCTTGGTACCAGCGCTCCTGAAATTTTGCTTTCAGTGATTGAGACAATCGGGAATAAATTCGAATCCGGGGAGCTCGGCCCTTCAACAATTGTTGGGTCAGCAGCTTTTAATTTACTCGTCATCACAGCTATTTGTATGGTGTCGATCCCTAAGGGGGAATCAAGAGTAATCAAAAGTACAAAAGTCTTTGCAGTAACTACACTTTTTAATATATTCGCTTATATTTGGTTGGCGGTCGTGCTTTTGTCAAGCACAAAGGATGTGGTTAGCATTTGGGAAGCAATCATTACCTTTTTACTCTTCCCAGTACTCATTATTATTGCTTACATAGCAGACAAGAACTTCTTTCTGACGAAAAACAAAGTCGGGACACCAATAGAAATTGGAATCGGTGAGTTGCTTCTTTCTTTCTTTCTTTCTTTCTTTCTTTTATTTGAGACCGTCTTTCCTTTGTTTCTTTCATTGTATGTTTATCTTGTTAGTTTGATTGCTTCTCTATTTCTTTTTCTTTTTTTTGTTTATCTGATTGCTTTTTTCTTTTTCTTTCGTTTTTTTTGTTTGTTTCTTTTTTGTTTGTTTCTCTTGTTTGAATGTTTTTCCCTTTTTGTTTTATTTATGTTTGATTGCTTTTTTTCTTTTTTTTCTTTCTTTTTTGTTTGATTATTTCTACTTTTTTCTTTCTTTTCTTTCGTTCTTTTTTTTGTTGTCTGATTGCCTCTTTGTTTCTTTCTTTCTCGTGAGCTTGCTTGATTAGTTTCTTTCTTTTCCTTTCTTTTTTTTTTTCTTTCTTTCTTTTTCTCTCTTTGGTTTGTTTGATTGTTTCGTTACTTCTTTCTTTCTTTCGCTTGTTTGTCTGATTGCTTCTTTGTTGGTTTGAGTGATTGATTGTTTCAAATTTTAAAACGCTAAGATTGTTGAACAGAATAATTATTTGAATTATTCTTATAGAAGTTTGAAAAAATTCTTTTGCATTTTTACATTAGTAAATAATTAAGAATAACAATTACTTAGGTTTGTGCAAGCGGATAGCAGGAAAAATATCACAAAGCGACAGAAGAGTCATAAAGGAGATTGTTATTGGGAGTAACAAAGAGCAGGAAGCTGTGGTGTGCCATGATTGCCCTCGTCCTGAAGAGAAAGACGCACAGGCAGGCACACGCATGTATGTATATATATATATATATATATATATATATATATATATATATATATATATATATATCCAAGAGGATAGAATCAGGCAGAACTCAATGTCTAGGACAGAGCAAGAATATAATATATAAAGGCTCAGACACTAATATTCCATGGTTATAATTTATTACATTGGAATCGTAATCACGAGGTCTGATAGTGATTACGAGTCCAATGTAATAAATTATAGCCATGGAATATTAGTGTTTGAGTCTTTATATATATATATATATATATATATATATATATATATATATTACATTAATCATTCATAAAAAAACAGATATAGAAGTTAATGATATATATCTGCTTTTTTGTATGAATGATTCATGTAATGTAAATTGAACTGCACCACATACTTAATATATATATATATATATATATATATATATATATATATATCATTTATTCGAAAATTATTACATAAAAAATTTATAAAATCACTACAAAAATAGCCATTTTGTTTTAACACTTCTGGTGTTATATATTAACTGCTGGTGTTGAATGTAGATTCTACATTCAACCTCATCACTTGAGAAGACATCAGAAGTGTTGAAACAAAATGGCTATTTTTGTAGTGATTTTATAACATTTTTATGTTATGATTTTCGAATAAATGATTATATTTGCTCTACTCTGTGTTGAGCACTCTTTTAAGAATAGTATTTGTTGGTTATTGGAATTTATTCCGTATACATCAATCCTATACTTGGGTATATATATATATATATATATATATATATATATATATATATATATATATATATATAGGTAAAAGTAAAAATCATGTATGAAAGCATATTGATCAGATTTATTAGGGAAACAAGTAGGGAAATCTACTATTTGTGTAAGAGACTAAGCAACGGAAAGATTAAAAGTACAGCAATATCATTAACGTTAGAATTCTTAACCCACTTTTCGTGACACATGGCTATTTACTCCTGTCCCAATAGCAAGTCTAGTCTGATCGTTTCGATAAGGTCAAATTACCAGCTGATCTATAAATGACCTACAATATGCTGGTAAATGAGCAGGGAATGGCTTGGTAATTTTAACGTCTCGAAAAATGAAACATTCCCTATTAAATCATCTGAGAGATCCCTTTCTGTTTTTCGTCAATATACTTCATCGTTGCGTCTTCTCAGTCTAACATGATCTGCTGACATGAACTGGAAAGATTATATTGATCGAATCATATTATTATATTACTGAATCAATTGATAGGAAATTTAGTTCACTGAGTCATGTTAGACAATCTTTTTCGCCAGAATTTATCTTGCAAATTTATAAGTACATTATTCATTCATGCTTTGAATATTACTGCCACAATATTACTGTCTGGTGCTTCTGCTATATATTTAGAGATTCTTGATAAAAATCCAAATAAGAATCTGAAATTGGTCCTGACCTGGCATGTTGGCTTCAGTCATTATCCCATCGCTGTAATATGGCTTCCCTGTGCCTTTTCTATTAATCTTTTCATATAATTGTTCTAATGAACTTTCCGCTATGATGCCTAAACTTTATGAATTTAACCGCAATAATATATTGTCAACAAGGTCTCATCAATTTACAGTTGAGCTGGCTAGATGCAACCGTGAGTTCTATGATAACAGTTTCTTCCTTAGCACTTCTCGCCTGTGGAACTCTGCGAATGATAGACTTATAGATATGCAAGACAGATTGCGGAGAGAAAAAATGTCTCGCCCGACAGAGAGGGTCTCTCAGATAATTAATGGAGAGAAGATTAGTTTTGGAGGCGTTAAATTTGACAAGCCATTTTTTGGCGCAGTTGACGGCGGTCTTGAGGTCATTTTGTTCATCAGCTGCCATTTTGACCTTGTCTGACTGATCAGCCTTACTATCGAGTCAGGTGTAAATTGTTGTGTCGTCAACGTAGATGCCAAGTTGAGAGGTGATACCATCGGGAAGGGCGTTAATGAATACTTAAAACAGCGTAGGACCAAGGATGGAGTCCTGGGGGGCACTCTCGTTAGTACGAAAAGGTGTAGATGATTTGCCGTTCAAGGCAACTTTCAAGTTCACGATTTGATAAGAACGACAGGATCAGCTAAAAAATGTGCCCGGAGGTATCATAACTTTTCAGCTTGTGGAGAAGACCTGTGTGCCAGACCCTGTCAACCGCTTTTGAGATGTCCAATGCTACATCCCTGGCCTAACCGTTTTTATCTAGAGCATGATAGACTCTTTCCGCAATTATCGTTAACGCAACAGCAGTTGATCTGGACAAACGAAAGCGATGAGAGATGACGTACCAATTCAGCATTGATTAGGGCCTCTAGGAGCTTCCCAAAAAAAATGTAGAAGTCTAATAGATCGATAGTTGGATGGGGCAGACGGTTAATCAGATTTTTCAAAAACTGGAACAACAGCCAATGACTTACAGCAGGCAGACAAGCAGGGATTTATTGTACAGTTTAGAGAGAACAGCAGCTAGTTCGGGGTCTTAATTACTATTACACAGATGCAATCAGGTCCACGTGCTTTGTGGAGATCCATGTTAGATAGCAGAAATCATGAAAGGGGTTATATGCATATCACTCAACAGAGAATCAGTTCAAGTGGGAATTTAGGCAGTGATACTCCTATTGAGTCGAGAGTAGAGTTTAAGGAGACGTTACGGGCAAAGCATTCAGCTTCATTAGCAAACGATGATAACACTTCAAATCAATTGAAGCGTGGGATATATCGAGACCTTGCACTTATTTAGTACCCTATTAAAGAGCCGCCAGTAATCACGAGAGCCAATGTTTTTAGAGGCTATGCGGTGCCTCATTTTCAAAGCAAACGGATTTAGCTCCTTCGAGGACTCTCTTAGATTTGTTACGGGCAGTAAGCCCCTGTTATGACTAGAACTGTCACGCTGGTATAGTCGGAAATAGTGGTTCCTGTGTACTATGGCGGCCGAGCATGATGGTGTAAACTATGGAGAGGATTGAGGTTTCACCTGGAATTTCCGAAAAGGGATGAAAGCGTCCATGCCGACTTTGGCCCAAATGATAACCTCAGTGGCACAATTTTCAATTGGGAGGTTAAAGATGTCAGTGCAAGGGGCACCACAAAGAAAATCCCGAAATGAGTCCCAATCAGCATGCTGGAAACGGAAAGAGAACTTATGGATATGGGGTTCCTGTTTAATGTTGGAAGGAGATATCAGTAGCTATCACAGAGTTGTCCGTGTTACCCCGAGGGTAGTATTGCGAAGCTCGGTAAGAGCAAGGACAGTAGATAAGAAATAGATCCAGTAGAGAAGCTTTTTGCTCGGTTTGGGTAGGGAAACGAATGAGGGATTGGGAAATGGAAAAATTAATGTCTGTATACCAGCAACATGAGTACCTTTTAGAATGTTTCAGCCATGTAATATGGTGAGCATTAAAGTCACCGAAGACAAAGATGTTCGCAGATGGATGAAGAGAAAGCGCCTTTTCTATACTGTCAACTATTATGTCTAATATACTGCAGTCTTGGGAAGAGAGAGGAATGATAAGGGAAAAAGAGATAGCTGACAGAGTTTAGTAGTGAAAGACGGAAGCACATGAAAGAGTAGTTAGTGACTTAGAGAGACACCTCTCTGGCCATCGGCTGATTATCCCGGATGTAAAGGCCATGCATCTGAATGCTGGAATCTTTACGGGAAAAAGGAAGATATTCTGGAACCAAGAATTCATTGGTCGCAATGGAAGAATTCAAATTGGTTTCACAAAGGGAAAAGATATCTGGCGACCGTTCAAGGAGGAAGGATTCTACGCCGCAGAAGTTGGAACGGATACCATGAATATTGAAGAAAGAAAGAAAGATTGAGGGAAGCAGGTGGGGGTTTTGTTATCTGGTTTAGTTTTATTTCATTTTGTTGTGATTTCCATGAGATTTGTTTTGAGGAGAGAGGAAAAAAGATCACCATAATTGTTACTATCTGTCGTCAATGGCAATACAAAGCAACCAGTGCGTAACTGAGAACAGAGCACAATGTGGCCTCAGGGTTGCCCACCGGAAATACATGCAAGGACACCTACCCATGCGCGACATGGCACAACTGATAGACCGATATTATGAGACTGTTGATCGGAGCAGCCTCTCAAGGATCTATCACAGAGATCTGGCTCCTAATGACCAGAACAGTCGGAAGCAACAGCCAACAAACTGCCAACCCGGTACCCTCATAATGGAAAGTAACAGCCA